TCGTAAATATAATGAAAGACGTTTACGTATATTCGGATTGTAACTAATTAATAAGGGGAACTTTGTAAATATAATGAAAGACGTTTACGTATATTCGGATTGTAACTAATTAATAAGGGGAACTTTGTAAATATAATGAAAGACGTTTACGTATATTATATTGGTGAGAGAGGGAGATAGATAAAACGTGAATTAACTTATCTCATTGATCATATATTAATTAGATTAATCTTAGGATTTAACAATAACTTTGCGCAAAACAAACATTAGGGAAAACTAAAATCCAATTTTACCCATGATTGATGAGGATAATATCTGCCACAGAAAGAATCGGTACGGCTGAAGTTGAACACATACTCGAAACAATCTTCTTTTCGCGCCTTAACAACGTGGACGAAATTCATGTTTGTTTTATTAAAGAGAATAGTGTCCTCTCCGTTCCCCCTCAATTCGGGTGTTGCTATTATAGTGCTAAGTTTCACACAGTGTTCTTTATACACGTTTCACCTTCATCAACATAGACTTTGTATGGAAATAAACCTATTCGATGGGGATTTATGTAGTTGAAATCGTTTTCACTGTTTCTGAAAGACTGCGTTAACAAAACTACGTTTCGTTATGTCTAACCAATCTCTAGCTGTAGCACCCCCCTTGTGGTTAAACTCAGAGTTTCCGTCTTGAGATATTATAAAACTTTGTGAGGTCTCAATCAGACGAAAGTTTCAAAGGTTTGAATGAAGTTAGGTCTTCAAAGTTTTTATTTTGATTGCATAAGCTTTCAGGTTTTCCAATTCAGACAAGTTTATCAGTTTACAAGTCCGTTTCTGTTTATTTTTGCTCGTGAAAATAGATTCCTTAGGTGTTTATTACTTATTGTGTCCTTTGTTAGCCAAGGTCCATCTTCATTTTTATCATATCTCGATTCGTGAAATGGATTGTTTTTCGAAATCTTACGGTTGGAAATGACAATTGTTCTCTCAAAGCTTTAAGCAGCTTAAAACATTTTGATTTGTAGCATTAGCTTATCCTCAAAACAATGGTTTTAGCTTATCCTCAAAACAATGATTTTTATCTTATCCTCAAAACAATGATTTAAACTTATCCTCAAATACAATGATATTAGCTTATCCTCAAAACAATGATTTAAGCTTATCCTCAAACAATGATTTTATCTAATCCTCAAAACAATGATTTTATCTTATCCTCAAAACAATGATTTTTAGCTTATTCTCAAAACAATGATTTTAGCTTATCCTCAAAACAATGATTTAAGCTTATCCTCAAAACAATGATTTAAGCTTATCCTCAAAAACGATGATTTTAGCTTATCCTCAAAAACAATGTTTTTTTAACAATAGTCTTATTTATCTATTCCAAGATTGTAGAATTATACAACTAATAAAGAGAATCATAAAATGTTTTGTTTGTTTGTTTGTAATTAAGCACAAAGCTACACAATGGGATATCTGTG